TATGTTATAAATTTATGTTGTTGTTTTTTACAAAAAATCAGATTAAATCTTAGATTTTTTCAAAAGTGCTAACTTGCCTCTACTGTGTCATACATTTTTAAAATATTTAACATTTTTTCTTTTCAAATATTTCAAAAGGAACTGAGGCAAGTTAGCACTTTTTTTTAATTACATGATTTAAAAAAGTTGAACAGTGATTATTTTTTTCTTACAATTTGTGAATATTTTATTTTTGGTTACAAATATGAAAAGTTTTTATTTTTTATTTGTTTACTCATATGATTTTGTGTTTGTTTCAACAGAAGTAAAGTAAAATAAAAAATAAATGTAATGGAAGAAAATAAAAATGTAAAATATATTACAGAAATATTATTCACACAATTTATTAAAGCTGGCAAAACTATTAAGTCAAATTGAGTAACATATTTAACCATTAAAGAAATACTTTATAAAAATTTTGAACCATCAGTTAATTGACTAGAGTTTGAAAATGTGTGTGAAAAAAGATGGAAGCGTTATAAACGCCTGAAAGAGAAACATTTAAAGAGAAATGGATATGCATTTATACTTTCACAAGCGTCAAAAGATATTATTTATCAAGCAGGGGATGTTTATATAACAGAACTGTGTTTTTCAAAACAAAGAAAATCTTTTACAGAACTGGGTGATAAGATGAAACAAGAGAGGACACAGGGACTTCTCAATTATATAAACAACTTTATCATTAATGAGTACCTAGAGTTGAATGTAAACCAGTTATTGGGTTACCTCTTATATAGAGTTAAAACACAAAATAATAAAAGTGTTGCTCGTGTTAGAAATGCTATTTTTACAAACCATATGGAAACAACAGATATCTTTAGCACAGATGAATCGATTGCTTTAATTCATTCTCTCACATTAAGTAAAGTGCAAATGAGAAAATTAAGATTTCTTTTTGCTTTAAAGGGCATATTTTCCAACAATCAATGAATTGCTTGAAGGAAGAAAAAAACTTCGCCCTACAATTAGTAATGCTTTGACTGGAAGAGGTGTTTCTTTTCAATACAAAGAGCTTGTAAAAATGACAACTTATTCTGTTTTGAATATAATTAAAGATTTTTTTATACCAGTAGATGGCAATGAGTATCAGATGTGTTTCAAGGATGGTTGTGATGGAGCAGGGCAACAAGTATCAATGAAATCAAAAGAAATGATTGAAAGAAAGTCAAATATGTTTCAAATATGGTCTTGTCCCTCTGAAACTAATATGCAATCAAGATTATTTGAGTAAAATTATGACCCTGTGGCAAAATTATTCACCAAATCACCATCGAGATCATTATGTCCAGTGTTTTTGATGAGAGAAACAAAAACTAATCAAGATTTTTTAGATCTTATTGTCCCAACTACTGATAAAGCACAAGAAGAGTTAAATGCTGAAGGAGTGTATTGTCTGTTTGGAAAAAATTATATCAATGTCAAAATTTATATTCTAGAAACAATGAAGTATTTCAAGTTTAAACGACTCATCAGCGGACTAAGATATGCAGATTGTATACTTTGCAAAATAAAAAATACTGAATGGACAGATAATTAGTGAAGGATTTCCGATTGATCGATCATCAGAAGAAACTTGGATGCAGTACGAAAAGCTAGTTAAGAAGGATGGTATTATTCCAACTAAAACTGGAGATTTTGATATATGAAAAGGACTGACTAAAAAACCACAAACCAAATCTGATCAAAAAAGCATATGTATTCCATATTCATATATAAAAAGCACTACCTGGTTTTTAAAACTTGTTTATCGGTGTTATGTAGATTATAGACTTTGGGTTACAAAACAGGATCACTTGCTGAACCAATACGTAATGCAAAAGACAGGGTTATTACTAAAATAAAAGAAAACACTGAACTGTGATTAGATATGCGTTGTAACTCTGGTAAGAAGGGAGGGACATCTACAACAGGGTCACAAGACCATAGATTTTGTTCTGAAGAACTAATTAACTAACTAACCATAAAAGATCTATGCTCTCCTATGTACAAAGATAGCATGATAAATAGTTACTACTACATTCTCAAATCAGTATAATACTTCGTATAGTTTCTTGACAGCGTAAATTTAAAATGGACAAATTTGAGGAGTTATGCTATAATGCTACACTTAACATCATTACAAATGAGCACAAATTAACCACACTTCATGGAATCCTACATTATTCAATTGAGTTAAAAACTCTTAATGATGGTTATGGCCACAACAATTTATAGGAGGAAGGTCTAGAAGCAAAAAACAAAGATATTAGAAACTATATAAAACTTCTCTCTCGTAAGACATCGCATTTAGAACAACTTACTTAAGTTTGTTTTTTAGAGATCGGATCCTTGTGTTTTAATTTAATTAGTTTGTTTTTTAGAGATCGGATCCTTGTGTTTTAAACCAATTTATCCATTTCCATCCTCCAAAGTTATGCTAAGATTGTGGTTCAAATGAGCATACAAGCAGATCTCATGAGCGTATGTTTTCAAAACCAAAGAGATATTTTTACGATATGTTTGAAAACCTTATTTATGATTAATTATAAAGTTATTAACATTTTTTACTACTTTAACTCTTTATTTTCAAATAAATGTTGCAAGTTCAAATCATTAGAACTCTTTCCTTTGATTTTATTAAACTAACATTATTTTTAATCCAAATTTGACAGAATACTTATTTTTAAATACTAAACTTCTTATCAATAGAAAAGTAGAAACCAGACCCCCAAATAATTTAAATTTTTGAATTTTTTTTCTTTAAGTATATCTAATAAATTACTTTATTAAATTTCATCTAAAAAAAAATTTAACTTAAAGTATTTATCAAAAAAAACTAATTTATCAAAAATGACCAAACATGGTAATTTGAACCCAGTCCACAAATATTAAAAATTTAAATTTTCCTATAAAAAGCAAAAAATTATCTTTCTAAAAAGTCTTCAATGAGTTTTCTTGGATTTCTTAATCATTAGTTATGATCTTATTTCCAAAACTGTGTCTTCTGGGCCCGCTGTGAGATGTGTTTGCTTGTGTTTCAAAAAGTGTTAGGTTGTATATATACCTCTATGGTAATAGTAATAAGGATTTTTTACGCATCATTTTAAACAATTGAAAAGAAAGGTAACTTTCCGACAAGAAAGGTATATGTGGCCGTAGTGCTTACAAATGGAATAAAAGTGTAAAAGTATATTCCAGTTGATGATCAGTGTGGCCCACATGTGGAACACATAATGCACCCACATAATTATTTCACTTAGAGTGGTATAATTCTTAAATAAATACGTGCTAAGTTAGATGTGGCTATCATATGTACATATGATAGCCACATCATACATACATATAAAACACATGATCTTGCCTCATTTTGAAATTGAAATTATAACCAATTGTAAACTATGATTCCATTGCAATGCATTGTAGTAAACTCTAGAATATTAAATGATATCATGTGGTTTACAGTTTTGATAACTTTCAATTCATAGTTTTAAGTATGTTTGAGCGACTTTGTAATGAATATATTTGAGAATTGTAATTCAAAATATACTTTCAACAAAATTTGTAAATCAAAGTTACACTTTAACGAATAAAAATTTCTTGCTATACTTAACAAGTTATGTAAGCAATGCTTTCGTTATTATTAATTTTTTTCTCTCGATTTTGTTTGTACACGGATTTCATATGAAACTATCTTTAGCTACTGTTTGAAGACATTGTAAGAATGCTAGATAAAGAATTGAAGAAATTATTGTGTCTTCATTGCATGATTCATCAGATTAGTTTTTTGCACATAACTAATACAGAATGAATTTTTTAAACTTAATGAAAAGTTGTTGTACGTATTTATCTCTGAATAAAATTGTAAATAAAAGCAAAAAGTATGATGTTTTAAAGTTTTTTAACTTGTATTCCTATATAAGTGAATATACATACAGTATGATACTTATTTGTATAGGTATATATGTATAATTATTTGTATATTCTATACATAAACAAATCTACTGACTTGTTTAAATATGATATTTAAACAAGTCAGAAGATTTGTTTATGTATTTGTTATAACTTTCTTGTAGGAAAATATGCGGCTTTCGTTCTTATTTAGTGTGGTTTTAATGGGATAAACATTATAGCCATATATGGAACGCACCAACGCCATCCCATCAGTGCTGGACAGAGCAATTTGGGGGCCCTAGGCAGACATGGATGTGGAGGCCCCACATATATTTATTTTTCATCAATTTTTAAGTAATTTTTATTATTATTATTTATACAGGAAATCATGACAAAATTGATGTAAGTACTGTATATTTTTCTTTACTGTATGTTTCCTAAAAATTAAAAAGTAATGTATTTTTTTAATTTTAATTTCTTCATTTTCAACCTTTTGGGGGCTCCTTAAACGTTGGGGGCCCTAGGCGGCTGCCTTATTTGCCTTATAGTACGGCACTGCATCCCATAAGGGAGAGTGGTAAATATATGGCTAACATATGCTTACCACATGTGGGCTACATGAAACTTTCATGCAAAAATGAAGTATGGTTAACATGCAATTGCCATATATGGTCCACATGAAATTTTTTAGTAGTTTTGAATATCTCAAAAAGATGCTTCTTTAATTTGCAACTGTAAAAACAGTTTTTTAATTTAAAAAAAAATAATCAGTTTAGAAAGGCCATGATATATGCTATCATGTGGATTTTTAACTTTAGTAGTTATATGTGCATTTCAGCACATGTAACTACTAAATAGATGAAAACTTTAAAATGAAGAAAACATGGTAAAATAGCTTAAATTAAAAAAAATTAAAAGAAGTTAATATTCCAATAGTTATATCTTATAGAACAATATAATATAAAATATATATATATATATATATATATATATATATATATATATATATATATATATATATATATATATATATATATATATATATATATATATATAATAGTATATAAAATATATTTCACAAAATGTCTTTACAAATGATTTTACTAAATTTCAAAATCTTAATAACATTATTTTAAAAAAATATTACAAAAATAAAAAGAGAATATTCAAAAGAAACAAAGAAAAAGACGCAATAATAATAATAATAATTAATCAACAATGAGTAGGGCCACTGCTTTCAAATGATATAACTATTTCCCTAACTGCTACTACTAATCCAATAATACCGCTTACTAATCCAAACAAGATTAATAAAATATCTTTAAAAAGAGTTGTTTTTTTCAGTTCTTTTCGTTTTAGTGAGATATGAATAATTGGTGGTAGAATATAAACCAACAAAGAACTACCAACTGCTCCGTTAAAGGCTGCAATGTAAGCAAACTGCTCCCGAAATATAAGTCCTATAATTGCTGTCAGTGAAACTAAAGCTATGCGAATAAGATTTCCTTCCCATATCAACTAAAAATAAACTCATGCATTATAAATATTATAATGATTTCTAGAATGTACGTATTAATTTTTTTTTTTTTAAATTAATAATAATGGGCTATAAAGTTTTACTATGGTGGTCTTTTATACTGGTCTTTTGGATTTTTTTTATACATGTTAAACTGGGTTTTTTTTATACAACTTGTATTTTATTTTTTTTAATTAAAAAACTAATCTAAAAAAAAGAAAAACTACAAATGTTTTTTAATAAAAAAAAAATGGGGAGCCATTTAAACCTATAACAAAGCATTTGATTTCTGTACTACCTTGACATACATTTTTTTGGGTAAAAATTGATTTATAAGTTTGATTACATAGAGGAACTAATCGTAATCACAAATTTATTTTCCTGATGTATTCCGCAAATCAATTGTTTACATAGTTTAGATATTGATTAAAGAAAAAATCAGTAGATCTAGATCTAATTACTAGATTTTGAAACTTAATGCAGTTTTTAGGTAACTAAAAGTATAAAGGGCTTCAACTTAATCAAGTTTCAACCACTTGGTACTAAATACGGCCAACATATATATAATTGAACGAAATTTTAAAAACTCTAAAAAAAATTATATTTCTAAAAACTCTAAACTGTTTTTATTAATTTTGTTACTTCAAAATAAATTTAAAATTATTTTACAAACTATGTATTATAACAGTTCTGTAAGAAACTCTTTTATTATGGTTCTCTGCTTTTGCTTCTTTGAAGAAACTTTCTTACTGAAAAGCCATTAACTCTTCTATAAAACTTTTTAGATTGATTTGACTTCTCTAACTTTGAAATTCTCAATATCTCATTATTTCTGCAAATGCATTAATTTAGAATCTTTAAAAATAAAGAGCAGTCATTCTGCAATGAAGAAACAATAACGCAAATAAAGAATTTAACGTAATTAAATCATGTTAAATTGCTGTTGTACTATCTAATAATGACACATCAACTGCATGTCTCAACGTAATTCCAACCAACAGTCAGCTGATAATACAAATTGATACAAGTGAAACTATGAGTCTTTTATTTTCAACAAAGCGTTTATATACTTGATATAATTAATGTATATTTATTATATTCTTTCTTCAAATGCAATGTTAGTTCAAAAAATTCACCTCAAATATACATGATAAAACTTTCTGTCTTTTGGTGATATATTATATACTACAATAAATAAATTTTACACCATCACCATCATAACCACCTTACAGTGCCGGATCAAGGGTGGGGACTAGGGTTTACTATAGCCCCGGGCACCGCAAATTTAGGGGCCCCCAAAAATTTTAGAGGACCTTTTTTTTTTTTTCATTTTTAGGCTCTGGCCCCAACAAGTCTTAATCCGCCACTGCCACCTTACAATATTTTATTTACTCACCTAATCTTAACCACAATTTTAAACAACAACAACATCAACAAAAAAAATCAAACACTTAAACACTGTTCATTTTCGATGTGTATCCTACAGACAGTAGATCACGGCTCTTTCACACAATGTAAAAATGGGTATTATGTCACAAGTTTATCAACAAACAAAAAAACTATTCCCGTATAAAAATTTAAAAAATTCATTAATTTTAAAATAAAAGTAGCTTTTTTTTCAATAAACGCTTTTATCTTCAAATAAAAAAGACTATTGTCAGATAAATTGTTAAACCTTTTTTTAATAAGTATATCTATTTGTTAATAGATATCTTATTTGTTTGTATTATATTATTACACTGACAATTTTTTGTGTTTTCAAATGAAAGGTAAATTTCAAACCTATACATTGGAAAGAAAGGTTCTATTAGAAGTTAATTGACAATCTCCGATTTTGTGACCTTCTCAATTCTTTTGTTTGTTTTGGCGAAGAGATATAGCTCTTTTTTTCCAGAAGATAACATCAAGAAGTTAAAATTAAAATTGAAATAAAATTCCATTTTGAAGTTGTCAATACTAAATCATCTGTATCTGTATATGATGTTCATTTGTTTTATATGTATTGAAGTTCAGATAGCCGTGAAAGTATTGCTTTTATTCTTAAGCATTATGCCAACAACATTAAAAGCATTCAGTTGTCAGATTTTAAACTTAATGGGGAAAAAAATTAAGTTATTCTTAGGTGGAGATTTTCATTAAATCAATGATGTTTTGGGACATCAGGGCTTAACAGCATTCCTACTTCTACAGATCTAGTTGAAATTTCTGAAAGCAACAAAATCAATTTAGCGAAAATAGCGAAAATAGTGAAAATCTATGCCTTTCGTCTATGCTATGCTAATTATCATACAATCCATGGAAGAGGCTAACAATGCAAACTTGTGTAAAGATAGACATAGTGGAAACCTAAGAATTTTAGGTAAGTTTCATTATTCAATTTTTTCTTCTGTAACTTCTCCAATAACTAATCAAGCTAATCGAGACAAGTTTCCTTTGTATCAAATTACTACTCATACACTTAGTAGGCAGAGCCAGGATTTGAACCTGCTGCTACAACCAATAATAATTCCGAACTTTTAGCAGCACTGTAACTAACTGAGCTATCTTGGCTTGGCTCAGATTAGAGACAGAGTGGTATGTGCCTACGGTGGTCTCATCAATATTTTGAAATTATTGGTGATTCTAAAGAGAATGTATTGTGTGATATATAAAACTATAACTGTTTAGGATGTCAGATTGAAGAAAGTCATAATATTTATACTTCTCAAATAATAGCTTTTATAAAAGTGCAAGTGAAGCTTTAGATATTGACTATAATTGATCGAAGATAATGCAAGGATCTTCAAAAAAACTAACATAGGGCCTTATGAGGAAGCTCTTCTTTATGCCCTTAGAAAAAAGTTGAGCCACAAGGTACCATAGTAATGTATTTGTATGTAGTCATTGCAAAATATTCTTGAGAAAACTCTATAAACTTAATTTACTATAAACTTTGTAGTGTTATTGATGATGGAATGATTAGGAATAGCTTTTTTTGTGTATTTAATATTTTTAAGTTGCAATCATTTTTTTTTAAGAGAAAATTTTTTCTGATGCTGAATTGAGTGAGCTTTAATGTAACATTTTTAATGTAATATTTTTAATGTAACATTTTTAATGTAACATTTTTAATGTAACATTTTTAATGTAACATTTTTAATGTAACATTTTTAATGTAACATTTTTAATGTAACATTTTTTAATGTAACATTTTTAATGTAACATTTTTAATGTAACATTTTTAATGTAACATTTTTAATGTAACATTTTTAATGTAACATTTTTAATGTAACATTTTTAATGTAACATTTTTAATGTAACATTTTTAATGTAACATTTTTAATGTAACATTTTTAATGTAAGATTTTTAATGTAACATTTTTAATGTAACATTTTTAATGTAACATTTTTAATGTAACATTTTTAATGTAACATTTTTAATGTAACATTTTTAATGTAACATTTTTAATGTAACATTTTTAATGTAACATTTTTAATGTAACATTTTTAATGTAACATTTTTAATGTAACATTTTTAATGTAACATTTTTAATGTAACATTTTTAATGTAACATTTTTAATGTAACATTTTTAATGTAACATTTTAAATGTAACATTTTTAATGTAACATTTTAAATGTAACATTTTTAATGTAACATTTTTAATGTAACATTTTTAATGTAACATTTTTAATGTAACATTTTTTGTTAAGCAACATAAAACAGTTATTGAATGAAGAAGAGAAAAAGTGTTTGCATAACAGCTTAAATTAGGAATTTAGATATTTAGCATCCAGCTAAGGATCAGGAGCAAAAGCTGCATCTTGTTTTAAAATGGTTTGAATTGCATACCAAAGCTGATAATAAACATCTAGCTGAAAATGTGGGAACATGTGTAGTATGTTCTGAGCTATAGAAAAGATCTATGTCTTGCTCAAGGTCATCAGATTTAATGTAAATATAAGAAAACTTAAAAGTCTAATAATAAAGTTTCAAACTGTTAATATTGTATGTTTGTGTTGGATGGCTTTGTTATAAAAGTTTTTATATTAGATATATTTTCACATTATAAATAATTTTATATAAAATAATTCAAGTTAAATAGTATTAGTAATAGGTGAGGAAAGTGAAAAACTTATCCTTGATTTTTGTATTGAATTGTATTAAAATTCAAATTGGTTTAAAGTATTTTTATTTATTAATGATCATCCTTCTATCATCTTATTAATATGCACACAAAAATTTATAAATGTTGAAATCAATTCACAGAGCTAAAATATCAGAAATATTACAAGGTTTATTTAATTTCCAGATCAAACTCTTTTAAAAACATCATCTCCAACATCTTTTTGCGATTTTTTGAATGATTATTCATTTCTGAATCTTTTCACATCAGGTTAAAATAGATTTTTTGGGCTTTTAAATTAATCTTAATATGTTTATAATAAGTAATAAATATCAAAAATATAGATTTCCAGATTGTTTTTGATAAAAAGTTGAATACAATTTTGAATTGTCAAATCTGCGCATTTTTTAGAAATTCTCGAAAGATTTATATTTTGATAAAGATCAAAAGCTGCCAAATTTTTTTAGTATTTTTAATTACTTACAAAACAAAATTATAATGAATATTTTAAAAGTTACATAAGTTTTAATGGCAACCCTTTTTGAAAAACTTTTTCAAAAATAAACAAGAAGTTGTATGTTCACCTAAAAACATCGACGAAATGTCCAGCTTTTGCTTAATTGTCTATTTTTTTTAGTAGTATTACTTATATATTCATTCATAATAATTGCATAATTAATTATAAAAAAAAAGAAATCTGAAACATACTACACATTCTTTAGCATGTAAGTCTTTTTCATAGCTAACTTGATTTCCTCTATTAGATTGAAAAGGTCGGTAGTGCCATTTGCGGTA